GAATGCAGCTAATTTATCCACTTTCCCAAGTTAGCTCCATAGATTTCCATGGCATCTAATTAAATAATGAAATTTAATGGAGGCATGACATCCTAGACTTCTAGTTAAGAGCAATGAAGTAGAAGTTTCAAAGAACAAGATTCAGCCAGTGTCAGTCCACAGACATAGTACATATGTCTCCCCTGGCCTTGATCACACCTAAAGCATTCCTCCCTGTTCTCTGTACACATTTTCTCAATACCTTCTGCCATGACTATAATCTTGCTCAGGCCTAGGGAAAAAAATGTTGTGTTTCCTGTTTCCCGACCGACCCTAGTGTTTTTTTTTTTGTCCCTGCAACTTCGTTGGACATGAATTTTTTGAGCTGATCGACGATTTCTAGCTCCATGATATGGCACCTGAGATGTTGTATCATCAGTTTTCCTATATATTGACAAGTACTAGTACCCTCATGCAAGTTCTACATTAAATTTGTTAAACTGTGTTGCATAATTTGGATCACAAGAAATCGGGAATTTGAAATTCTAATAACAAAAAAGAAAAAGAAGTCAGATAATCCCTATAGCTACCTTTCCCATCCTCTGAATCTCTGATAACCACAAATGCTGAGCCATGAAGTCAACATACCAGGCTGGTTTATACATGTAAGTATCTGATTCTAAACAATGAATCTTAATTTTTTTATAAAACCAATACTACGTGTATTGGAATTTGGATAGATCAAGGACATTGTAACAACTTAGAAGACAAGGACCTTTTTCAACTGTTTGGGCCAAAATATGAGCATTTTGGAGTGAATTCAAGACCTGAATGTTTTTGTTTTTCTTTTTCCAATTAGAAAAAAATGAAGCGGGAGAATCCAAGAACCATTTAATTAAATTTGTGAGGCCCAATTTTTTGTTTGCAGGCTGCATGTATATGGGTTTTGTTACCATGAGCAACAACTTTGTTTTGTTAGTATTAGTTATGAGATACATTTTTTACATGTATGCAATGTCTTTCTTAGATACCTTATATACATGAGCCATGTACTGTGCACATGTTTAGGCCACACCACCTTAATTTTATGGATGACATACGTGCGGCGCGCGTGCATTGATTTTCTCCTGTTCTAAAAAAAAAAAAAGATTACGTCCTCCGAGTCCGAGGCTCTGGCCTGGTTCTAGGCCTGGGTAGTCAGCGGCAATACGGAGCCGGATGGCACCCAGGCTGCCGAAGCTTCATGACTCAAGAACTCAGTACAATATACGTACAGTGCCGATTCATAAATTGCTCAAAAAGCCAGCATGTGCCGGCTTGTCGTATAAGTCGCTATGTACTGCCAAATTCACAATACCAGCTTTGTATTCGTGTGGTTTAGCAGCATTTTTATTTTTGGCCAGAATTTTTTTTTTCGCCCACGTGCACTAGTTTGGGGGTCTTTAGAGGATGTCATCCATAAAATTAAGTCAGTGTGGCCTTTGTATGCTTATACAAGGGACACTTTAAAATCTGTGTCTCTGTCTGTCATGTTTTTTTTTGTAAGAAGACTTAGCTAGTAGTAGTAGTACATTCTATGTGTACCACTTTTCCTTGGTCCCTACATGTATGTACACATGTGGTGGTTTTAGATCAGGTTTACTGTAGTTAGTATATGCCATGTAGAGGGAACTGTTTGTTTCAGTATCTACATTGTGTCACGTTAACCAACTTTAATCATCCAGGACTCTGACTGACCTCATGTTAACAACAACTTCCTGCTCGCACGCCAAAAGGATTGAATTGATGTCATCCGATGACGTCAAGAATTCTGATATCACGCCGCTTTTCCTTCAACGATTACCCTCCTTTCGTTCATGTGACCGAATGACTTCCAGAAACAACAGGCCGGGCCGCAAGTTCAAGGCTAGGCAGTAATCTCAAGCACCAGGAATTCCCTGTGCTGCCTGGTCCACGCAAGTAGAAACCTACAGGGGCTGGTTGCCATGGGTGAAGGTAAATACATCTCCCATCTACCAAACCACAGGGAGTCTGCACAAGTTCAAGTCAGGAAATTCTATCTGGCTCTTGACCAGTTCCCCAACACAACACGGGCCAACAGGCATGGGTCTGCTGTACAGATATCAAAACAAAAACTTCAACTTAACTCAGAGACTCTATCAACAATCTGCAAGAAAAATTTCAGTTGTGTCTATGAAGTTCATGATGAGGGAGATTATGGCATAGGAAAAAAATGTTGTGTTTCCTGTTTCAGTCCTGAAAAAATTAGGGTTGGTAGGTGCAGATTATCTTTCTTTTTTTTTATTTTCTTTAGACTTTGGCGATCTCTATATAGTGATCGAACTGTAGTACAATACAGTTTAACGAAGTAAAACTTGCAAGAGGGCATCCGTTTCATCGGGTTAGTAAGTCACTGAGTAAAGAGACTCTTTCAGTCTTTGTAGACAACCATGTCTTTCATTCAGCCATCGTTTCAGTGACTACAGTAGTGACTCCAGTGCTGCAGTGCAATGTGAAGTGAGGAAGGTGACAGGCGGTCACCGAAACATTGGCTGAATAAAAAAAATCGGTTGTGTAAAAAGAGTCCCTTTCCTCCTTTGCAAAGGTAACACTGAACTTACCTGCACCAAACAAGTTTTACCTGCATCACTCAGAATTTAAGAAGTATGGATCATCATAGTAAAACTGTTCAGAAACCATTGCCAAAAATTGTTTCTTTACTCTCATGTCCCTAATAAACATACCCCCCGGAATAAACATACCCCCCGGACAAATCGTCAAAGTCTAATAAACATACCCTCCGGAATAAACGTACCCCCCGGAAAATGACCAAATTGACAGGTGAACTGTGTGTCTTTGATACTAAAATGTGCTCTTTATTTCAGTACCAATATATTGGCAAATCTTTCACTGTTACATTTAATTAGTGAGTATATATCACTTTAATTAATGAGTATATATATATTGTACTTGTTTTGGGGAAATACAAAATCCATAGGAGAAGCTATTGCATTTTACACTTCTGAAATGCACTTTGCTAAGCCTTCTCCTGCAACTTGAGTTGAAAATCTGACTAACTTAAGAGATAGAAAATCAAGCCCAATTAAGTACAAATATAGGGGTTTAATGAGTATATCTACAACAAAATCCATTTCAACATAATAATTATTTGGTATGGTACATTGTCTAGTCTGGTCAAAGTCTGGATTCTGAAGAAGAAAAACTTCTGAAGAAAAAAACTTTTGAAGAAAAAAATATTATTCAGCATAAAATTTTGATTGGTTTCCATCTCATTGTTTTTTTAAAAATCGATAATGTGATTGTATCAATTTTAAACGCCCTAAAATTAGCTAAATCGGCGCTTTTACGGTGATTGCGCAATATGGGTGCCCTATGACCTTTGACTTTTTACGGGTCATGCTGCTCAGGCGCTAGGCGCCCTCCCCACGTCGGCCGTCCGTCTTGTGGGCAAATTTCTACTTTTTTAGGGGTTTCGGGACCTAAAAACTAACACCAGAGGGAAAATAAACCACATACGTTTTTTCATGGTAAATATCGCTAAAATGGACCAGGCATTTTTCTGCCGCGTTAACGATTTTGACAAGGACTTGCGGCCGCCATGTGCTAAATACGTCGATTAGCTACTCGCCTTCCCCTTCGGTTTTGTGGGCAAATTTTTGCTTTTTCAGACGTTTTGGGACTTAAAAAAGGAAAGCAGGCGAAAAATAAATAATATACATTATATTCATGGGAAATGCCGCTATCATGGACCAAATATTTATCTGTGACGTGTTGCCGAATTTTGCGGCCGCCGGCCACTTGCTGATGGTGCGGTACGTACGGACAATTTTTCCCCAAAAAATTAATAAACGTACCGTCCCTAATAAGAATGTACCGGGTGGACGTTCGGGCCGAAAAAAATAAACGTACCGGTACGTTTAATCGGGACATCAGAGTAATTATATACTTCATAGGTGGTAACAGTCAATGCAGCATATGAAAATCCACATACACCTTCATGTATATAATATAAACCCAGTACATGGATGAGTGCAGGTTTGGTGCAGGTACATGTAGACATCAGAAATACCTGCACAGTTCCAATGATTTTGGAGCTGTGCAGTTCAAGAAGTTCAAGAAGTTTGCCCACATTACTGGTACCTTTCTTATGTACCTGCAACATAGACCCATACTGTGTTCTGCGACCACAACTCTTACCACCATGGTTCTCCTATTAGAGGGCCTGCATCAGTGCATGCCCTTTTTCGTAAGGCATAATCAGGCCTTTTTAGTCTTCGTAATCTGTAGGCAGCCACCCAAAATCATCATAATTCAAAATCAGTACATTTTTATAATAAATTTGCTCCACACACTTTCGTGGAACTGTCGCAAGGGCCTGTCATTCAGCGCCACCAGGTGACCTCAATACGACTTTCCCCGACCAAAGTTAGGTACCCATTCACACCTGGGTGGAGTGAGGAAACTTGTGTTAAGTGCCTTTCCCAAGGGCACAACGTCAGGGCGCATGTCCAGGGTACAACTCGGGATCAAACCCAGATCTCACCGCGCCGTTTCATAGTCGAACGCTCTTCCACTATGCCACCCTGCACCACATATCACTACACCCCCCATGCAGGCCCTCCTACATTGTATAACCTACTAGTAGTAGAGGTGTGTAGTCAGACGTTCCTGTCCAGTCTAGCCTTCCATAAGCCAGCTGCCAAATTGAAACTTGTTAATCTACGAGCCAGGGCATTTGCAGCCTATAAGTTGCATAACCTGTTTATTCGTACCTCTAGAGGAAGACCCTAAGCAACACACAAGTGCACGCACACACACACACACAGACACACGCACACATACACACACACACACACACACACACATACATTTTGTACACACACACACACAGACACACGCACACATACACACACACACACACACACACACATACATTTTGTACAAACACACACACACACACACACACACACAAATAATGGTTGCGATTTAAAAGCTCTCACCTTCCAGAAGCTGTGTAGTCGCAGTAGGTAACTGTAATATCAATGATAAAATATGGTCAGATTGGGCATTATGTATAATAACTAGCCTGGGTGCCTTGTTTTCCATTGAAGTCGGAAGCCAGTGTATATATACAAATTCGCAAAAGCGGTTTTCTGAGTCGCTACGGCTACTGAACCCCGGTAAACATATAGGTTGGAACCCAGGCTAATGTACGATATAGAAAATGCAAAAAATCGCAGGAAAATATGACAAATCCCACGTAACGTGGACGTGCCGGTACCTTGACGTGGGCCGAACGGGCCGGCGAACACCCTGTCCCGCCCGATCACGCTCTCGTCCACGTATCTCATGAGTTTGTGGCGATCCTCGGACTTCATTCTGCTGTGTGCGGTCGGCACGGGTCTGTCTGCACCAGTAGGTAGTCGGTAGAACGTGCGGCTTGCATGTGGCAGGGTAACCCGTCGTCTGCCCCTGAGGGTCGCCATCTTAGCTTTATATAGGCCAGGGGGTTTCTACGAGGGCCTGCAAGGGGGCGTAGTGATTACGAATTACGCAAAATTTTCGCCGCCGATTACGAATTACGAAAAATTCTCAGAGCAAAAAAGCGTTACGGCTATTATAAATGTACTGATTATGAATTACGATGTTTTTGGGTGACTGCCTTACGGATCACGAAGACTATTGGTAAAAGGCCTTACGGAAAAAAACATGCAGACCCTCTAAAATTAGCGCAGGGACTTCTAGTAGCGCGTGCGCGTAGGAAGCGCTACATTTACAGGTTTGCAGTGAATACCGGAATGTATTGCAATACACCGGAATACACTGGAATACAGATAAAGGAGGTTGAAATTGACCGGACTACACAATACTTTGATGTGTTAACATCCCAGATGGCTCTATTTTGGCATAAGATAATGGATAACTTAACGTTACATGGTCCAGGGAACAAGAAATCATATGCCATTTAGCAGTGACAACTGTGACAAGGTCTGACGCTGGTCAACATGCCGAAAATGAGCAAACATGACCAAACATGACTGTTGCCATGGCGGAGTTGAACATGGATGATGGATGAAGAGAGAGGATGGTGAGACCACGTGACCCAGACGCGTCATTGGCCCAAGCCTGACCACGCCTCCGCCATGCAGATGTCGCTCCGCCCCTCCGAGTGCAAAATAGCGGGACGCACCCTAGAACTGGGTTCTTCGCCTCTCGAAGCTCCGTTCTAGTGCACCGGTTTAGGGTAGTTTAGTCTAGTATTAGGTTTAGTCTAGTAGTTTTCCCTGCAACACACTCAACTGTACAGGTAACCGGTTTCCGTTCTGTTTCAGTCTTTGCCTACTTTTAGTATTGTGTAACTGTATATCTGTTGTATGTTCCATTGCTTTGTACAGTATACCGCAGTTAGACAATAAAGTCACATCAAATTTAAATCGACCTGGCTTGGCGTTACTTAGAGTGATAGTCTAAGTTAACTAGTTCCTCTTAGTTAGAGTGAGAGTCTAAGGTACCGTAAGATCTGTAACTGTATCTGTAATCGTAACAGTTGTCATTGTTTGTTCTTGGTGCCTATGAGGGCCAGGGCATAATGTGGTCTTCGCCAGGTGTTGGTACATGGTGTAAGGTGTCGATACCTTTTTTCCCAAAGTGGTCCAAAGTCTCGGGAGTGGATGACAAAGCGCTCAGTGCTTGGTGGCCGCAATGTGGCGAGCTAGCTACATTAGAGGTGCAGCGCACACAGCAAGAACAAATAATTGAATAAATGAAGACCTTTATTTCACATTTCTGCCACACTTGGCTAAGTACAGATCACACAAAAAATATGAATGAATACGGTTAACAGATATACAAAATTAACTAACTATCGTTATATAAATTCAACTTCTCCTCGCTTTTCTGTTATTGCAGAAATAAACGTAAAGATCTGTTTTTAGACGGGTGGCTTGTCTAGTCGCATAAGGAATATGAATTTTTCTACACTACGTGAAATAGGGGAATGGGTGTTGTACAAACGTATACACTTCATTTTTTGTCTTTGCTATACAGTTCACATTCTGTTACAAAATGGCGTTCGTCTTCTATAATAATTGCAATACTGTGCCGACTGTTTAGCCTGGTTAACAAACCTATTATATCTCCCGAGTCCTACATCCTCTCCGCAAATATTTGCGTAGAGGATGTAGGACTCGGGAGCTATAATAGGTTTGGTAACCAGGCTACCGACTGTTAGCGTGTTCCCTTCAGGAGCGTCTTTCCAGAAACCACTCCTCCAGTAGAAACAGGGGATCCAGTTCACCACGGACTCATCCCTGCTTCTTGTGTCACCGACCTGGCCACTGGCAAAGACACAATAACCATCCGATCCACCATCTCCCCCTAGGAGTCATGTCGACAGTGACTCTCCGCTACCAGCTGACACAGACACCACGCAGTCCGGGACCTGTAAACGGGCCGCAGGGACTTCGGTCCGCGGGACCTGTCCTACCGTCTGCGCCAGCGACCGACGTTCATGTCCCGCCGCCGGATACTGTCCTGCTGCCGACGCCAGGGACCGACACTCCCGTTCCGCCGCCTGTTCCCGTCCTGCTGCCGACGCCAGGGGCCGACACTCCCGTTCCGCAGCTTGTTCCTGTCCTAGCTACTACATCGACCACCATGCAGCACAACTGTTCCATTGCCACAACGACACGCCAGTCGTCTAATTTCTTTTGCCCGGTTCAACGGGAGCCCGGCGCGCGCCCCCCTCTGGATCCGCGGAGTCACGTGACATGAAAGAAAAAAGGAGACATGCGATGAATTGGGACGTGTTCAAGGACGTACGTGGCTGTTTTAGGTCGCAGGTAACGTCGGTAAAACACAGGGACATACGCCGACACGTGACGTATCTGGGTCGGACGTCACGTATAGTGCACGTGACGTGTATTAAAAGAATGTGACATACCCCGATATGTGACATTTCTGTGGTAAGTCGGATGTCACGTATATTGCGTTAGACGTGACGTGTTTGTGGTAAGTTGGACGTATTCTATGATTTACGTCACGTATTCTATGATTTACCTCGCACGTGACGTCAGCGACAGTGGATGTCGTCCGACCTATTTCAAACACGTCACACTTAAGTTCGGCATATTTTAGTATAAGTGTCACGTCCTTCTATTGATAACTTAACTAATAACTAGCGGAATTTGTCTGCGACAGAAACAGTTGCATTAGAGTTGGCATGCTTATCATGATCAAGGCTAATATATAAGAATGGTGTCATCCATGTTAACATGCACGTCTAACAGTTCTTTATTGCAAGTTCATACAAGGGCTAATTGCAAACACACATTGTATTATTTTGACAAGAACAATGAGTACAGAATGTAGTGATATAAAACTGTATGCTAACATGAAGTTCTGCGTATATGATATACTTATCTTCAACCTACTACTGGTATCTCTACTTAAACCTAGTAACGCACGTATACAGGATGACTATGCCTCTTGTAGAACAACTGATCTATGGCATATCTAGAATGTGCTGTCTCAAGCAATATTTTAAGGTTCTAATACTGTAACCAATTACAGTAGAGGCATCACCACTAGACTGTTAGCTTGAAACAATGTTTAGAGTTAGATAGGTGTAACGAGCCATTCGGTGTAGCTGCCACCACGCCGCGTGCCTGCGAAGTTGTGTGTTATACACCGAGGGGCTGTACAAATACACAGACCCATAATAGACTCTGCACTCAGATACCGTAAGATCTGCAACTTACTATCAAATCAAAAAATATTCTGAAATCTTGCAGATAACCGTTTATATCATATCGTTCTTGGCTTTAGAAAGAGGAGCTATCTTGAGTGTACAGTATTATACACTACCACTTCAGAGAGGAATACTTTTCTTCCACTGAGAAAAGTATTCTTCACCCAACAAAACAATCTTGCCCATGAAACAACAATTTCAAGAAACTGCATTTTAGCATATTTTTCTTCTGGTAAGCTTAATTTTCTTATGTATCGTGAAGTAAATATCCTTAGAATATTATTCTTGCAGTAAGAAT